TAGTTTGGGCCATAAGCCTCAAAAGCTTGTACTATGCAATAACTTCAAAGTTTCACTAAATGTATAACGTCACTTGATTGGGGGTTAAGGAGAAAAGCTTTCCAACCCATTACGTTAAGAAACTTTGAGCCGGGCTCGGTGGCTCAGCCTGTAATCCTGCGCCTTTGGGAGGCTGAGGTGAGTGGATTGCCTGAGCCCGCGGGTTCAAGACCCACCTGGGCAGCGAGACCTCATCTCTACAATAAATCAAAAAATCAGCCGGGCGTAGTAGCGCGTGCCTGTAATTCCGGCTACTTGGAAGGCTGAGGTGGAAGGATCGCCGGAGCCCAGCAGGTCGAGGCTGCAGTGGCCGGGAGCGGCCACTGCACTCCAGTCTGGGTGACAGAGTGAGACTCCATCTCAAAAAAAAAAGAAACTTTGGAGATTCCTGGCTTATTGTCTTTCACCTAACCCAGATAGAAATGCTTCCATGTGGCCCTTTAAAATATCTGAACTAGCCAGGCACAGTGACTCAAGCCTGTAATCCCAACAGTTTGGAAGACTGAGGTGAAGGGATTGCCTAGGCCCACGGGCTCGAGAACAGCCTGGGCAACTTGGCGAGACCTCATCTCTACAATTAAAAAAAAAAACTTAGCTGGGCATGGTAGTGTGTGCCTGTAGTTCTGGCTACTTGGAAGATTGAGGCGGAAGAATCACCTGAGCCCAGCAGGCTGACACTGGGGTGGCCATGAGCATGCCACTGCACTCCAGCCTGGGCAATAGAATGAGATTCCAACTCAAAAGTAAAACAAAATATCTGAACTATTACTACTTTTTCTACAGAGGCAGTTATTAGCTAAGGGACTATATAAAAGGAACTGAAAAAGGAAGCAAGTCAGTATCCAAAACTGGGACACAATTATGCAAGATCCAACAGGCTGAATAGGATGTTGTAAACACCTTTCTCCTTTGAGGTGTAGCACTGACCTTGCATTAGTTCTCTAGCTCAGTTACCCTGAAAACCTGATGAAGGTGGACCATCAGCTGTGTGATCACAGCTTGGGCTCTACCGGTGCAGTCTATAATTTGTTCCTGGGCTCTGTCCCTGGCCAGGACCCAGGGATACTATACGCACAGGGAACTGTTAAAGAGGGAGTGGTCCCTTATGGCTTCTAAAGCCAGGGTGACTCTTACACCCTTCTTTTGTGCAGTCTGTGGGGACCACTGTGATAATTCCTATGGAAGAACCGTGCCGAAAGCCACCCTCTGGCATGCTGTCTTGCCTATCCCACGTCCTTCTGAGAAAACTGGTATCAGATGTAGCCTCTCCAGGTCTTGGGAGTTTGCATACCAGAGGCAACCATCCCACGTTAGCATCTAACAGGCATAAACATGGCTATCAAATGGTTATAGGATTAGAATCAATAAAGAAAAACATTTTTTAAATGGTTGAAAATCCTTAAAGGTATCACTGAAGTTTAGGGCTGAGAATAGCAAATATACAGAGGAAGGCAGAATATTCCTTTATTAACAACTTAACCAAACTTAGTTACTTCTAAGTAAAGGAGTGAGGGGTCGTGGTACAGAGGGAGAAAACTCACCCAGAAGAGAGGCAATGCAGCTCACCTTCTGGCTGTGCACACAGTCTGTGTGGCCTTGGATAAAGTGCTTCTCCCTACAGATGTCAGTGTCTTTAAATGGAAGAGGAAGGGGAGAGGGAGCAGGGTATGATGGAAAGTTCAAGGCAAGTACAGAAAAAATATGAATTTAGAAAAATGTTACATAACAAACAACAGGTGGAGGAAATTGTCAAACCTGCAAGAGAACACCCATGATTCTGTGCTTTTAAAATGAGAACAAAAGTTCTCATTTTAAGTTTTTGCCTGTTGGTCTTAGTTAACAATGCTTCGTTCATTTCTCAACATGCCTGAATACTTATCAGTCTCACAGCTCCTATGTCAAACAAGTTCTATCTAAAAAAACAATGCTCAGCCGGGCTCAGTGGCTCAGCCTGTAATCCCGCGCCTTGGGAGGCTGAGGTGAGTGGATTGCACGAGCCCGCGGGTTCGAGACCTGCCTGGACAACTTGGCAAGACCTCGTCTCTACAATAAATCAAAAAATCAGCCAGGCGTGGTAGCGCGCGCCTGTAGTTCCAGCTACTTGGAAGACTGAGGCGGAAGGATCGCCAGAGCCCAGCAGGTCGAGGCTGCGGGGGAGCAGCCACTGCACTCCAGTCTGGGCAACTCCAACTCAAAAAAAAAAAAACAAACAATGCTCTCAGTTAACCCCATGTCATAAAATGCTATAATCTTTAACCCCCTAATTCCATTGTTGGTAATGTAGTCTGAGGAAAAATCCTAAATACAAGAAAAAGCTTCTAACTGCTCCATTATTTACCAATAATAGAGAAAAAAATTAAAAGAAAGTAGAATTAAAAATTATAAAGACAAAAACTATTTCAATTGTTTTAAAAACCTATGCATAGAAATAATTCCTTTTTAAGGAGGACTGCAAGTAGAACTTAATGTCTTTTATTTTTCCTGTTTGCTAAATTTTCTTCAATGAACACTTATTTTAATGAACACTTCAATGAACGGAAAATAGTAATATTTACATTGCATTTCCAACACATTTTTCACTCAGAATCAAGTTTTGTAGATACACCATACTAATATTAAGCTTGAAAATATGTCAAATCAGGATGGTTATGTAAATTCTGAAAATGTAAACCACTATAACAGAATCAATCTGGCAGGGACAAGATGTAAATATATTTCATTTAATTAAAGGAGCCTAATACCATTCTTGACACATATTGGGTGTTTATAATTATTTGCTAAATGATTAACTGAATTTTTGCCCTGTAATTCATATCTCTACAGAGTTTTCTTTCTTCACATTCGTTGCAATTACCTAAAAATTCATACTTAGGCTCTCATGGACTTAAATTAAGATCTTCAGAGCAAATCATTCCTGTTCTAATATTAACAGGGACATTTTGTACCAATATAATTACCATAATAAAATTTGATTTTAAAAAATAGCACACAATATCTCAAGATGTTTACAAACCTCAAATCCTAAGAGTTTAAAATTATGAAAGAAAAACTGAATCAAGAAACTGTTGGTATCTTTTCAATCAACTTCTCAATTGTTTGCTTACCTGCATTCCTTCCAAAGTAATTTTAAGTTGTTTCTACAAATATTAGAAGTTGGCTGGGCATGGTGGTTCACTCCTGTAAATCTAATACTTTGGAAGGCCAAGGCAAGAGGAGGATCACGTACGCCCAGGAGTTTGAGACCAGCCTGAACAACAAAGCCAGATGCCATCTATACAAAACATTTAAACATTCACTAGGCGCAGTGATATGTACTTGTAGTCCCAGCTATTCAGGAGGATGAGGCAGGAGGATTACTTGAGCCCAGGATTTGAGGCTACAGTGAGCTATGATTGCACTGCTGCACTCCAGTCTGGGCAACAGAGCTCGACCATGTATTTGCTAAGTAATTTATATGCACGCATTCAAGAGGGGACCCCAAAAAACCCAGAATTTACAAAAATTGTGTATTTATTCTTACATGTTTAAACTTCAGTCACCTTCAAAATACTTTCCATTTGATGCAATACACCTATTGAGGTGCTTTTTCCACTGCTCAAAGCAGTTTTTGAACTGGTCAATTTTGTTTCACCTCTTCCACACTGGCAGAATGTTTCCCTTTGAGGACTTTTTTCATCCAGGGAAACAAAAAGAAAAGTCGTTCAGCGTGAAATTGGATGAAGGGTGGGGCACAAGGGTCATGCCATTTTTAGTCAAAAACTGCTGAACACCCAGCATGATGTGGGCCGGTGTGCTTGTAAATCACCCATAATGAAATGGGCAAACACGTTAAAAGAATCTCCTGCCGGGCTCGGTGGCTCAGCCTGTAATCCCTCCCCTTTGGGAGGCTGAGGTGAGTGGATTGCCTGAGCCCGCGGGTTCGAGACCCGCCCGGGCAACTTGGCGAGACCTCGTCTCTACAATAAATCAAAAATTAGCCAGTAAACAATGGAATATTACGCAGCCATAAAGAACAAAATCACAAGCCGGGCTCGGTGGCTCAGCCTGTAATCCCGCACTTTTGGGAGGCTGAGGTGAGTGGATTGCCTGAGCCCGCGGGTTCGACACCCGCCTGGGCAGCAAGACCTCATCTCTACAATAAATCTAGAAATCAGCTGGGTGTGGTAGCGCACGCCTGTAGCTCCGGCTACTTGGAAGGCTGAGGCAGAAGGATCACCGGAGCCCAGCAGGTTGAGGCTGCGGTGGCCGGGAGTGGCCACTGCACTCCAGTCTGGGCGACAGAGTGAGACTCCGACTCAAAAAAAAAAAAGAATCTCCAAAAAGTTTGATGAAGCTGAATGCACTCTCTCACGATGCTAGCTGGTACACTGATGCTGATGGGTTCCTAGAACACTTACGTAGTGGGGGAAGTTTGTACTACAAGGGCCCACCCTCTGAAAAATAATTCTGGGTTTTTCTGTCCCCCTCCATACACACACACACACACACACACACACACACACACACACACACGTGTATATATGTGATTTATATATCATATATACGTACACATGATATGTGATATATAATGATATATATATCATATATATATGAAATTCTTGGAACATGTTATATGTACAAGTAAAGTCTACAAATATGTGAAAAGACCCACATTAACTTTAAAAAAATGCTATTATCTGAATGTTTGTGTCACCGCAAAATTCTTATGTTAAAATTCGAACCTCCAAAGTAATGGTACTGACGGTGGGGCCTTCGGGACACGTGAAAGGTGCTGTCTATGAACCAGAAAGCAGCCCTCCCCAGACACCAAGTCTGCCAACACCTTGATCTTGAACTTCCCAGCCTCCAGAACTGGAAGAAATAAATCTCCGTTGTTCATAAGCCACCCAATCTGTGGTATTCTGTTATAGCAGCCCAAACGCATTAAGACAAAAGAGTAACAGGAAAGAAATGTCGTGCCATAGTTTTAACATCACTGTTTTAATATCATGGAATACAAGTACAAAACATTGTACAAGTATACTTTTTACTACATGGAGATGAAATAATACATTTGTGTTTTTACCAGAATCTGTATCATCCAGTACTAGCCACTATGCTAATAATGGCTTTCCACAGGGATTTTTTTACTATTCCTATGAGGTTTTATCATGAATAAAACAGCTCACAACTCTTTTCAACCATTGCAGACATACACCTATCTTACTATTCCTGGTCAAGATGTTTTGGAAAACTGTCAAGAAATACAAAAACACCTTAGCCAACAGTTTTGAGTGAGTCATTTTACTTCATGTTAGCTAAGATCTCCCTTATGTTGACATTTCAAAAAGACTGTGCACTTGCTTAAGTTTAGAAAATGTGTTGCCTTAATAGCCCGCTTACTCTGATGGAAGGCAAATGACCGTTTCCTGAAAAGTCCAGAATATCCTACTAGTTATTGGTTAAGCAGTAACTCATGAAACCCCAGTTATAGAAGACAGTAGCAACAGAGGACCATTAAGTCCTACATGTACCAAAGAAAAACAAATTTACAAATATCCAAACTGTCTGTCGTCCCTATCTCTCAAATGGTTTATCCACATCAAGGGAGTGTAACATCAGCCAATAAAAAGAAAAAGTAAACTGTGCTAGTGTCCACCATTCAGCTTCCATAGCATATCTCACAGTTTTCGGCCATTCCAGCTAAGTTTTCTTATGACAGACAAAAAGAATGATGAAAGCAGCATTAACATTCCTGGGAAACGTGGAAAAATACTGCTAATTTCAAAAAATATTCAAAATTAATTTTGTTTTTATAAATAAATAAAATGGTGATTATCTTTTTCAAAAGTTTTAATTATTCTTGCTGTTAAAACATCATTCAAAGCTATGTCAATCTTTAAGGATAAAAGGGGTATTGAACATAACATGTTTGGAAAACAACCACATTTTTAACTGCCAGCATTATGCTTTGTTCTTGGTAGAATCATCTTTGTTTCTTCTTTTTACATCCCAATTATAAACCCTAGCCATATCTGCAAAAATTGTCAAAGAAAATGCAAATGCAATTCTAAAGATAACATATGCAATGACTAAGTAATCACTCACACAATGAATCAAAGACACAGACACAAATACTGGTAACAAACTGTTTTAACACATCTTGCTAGAATGTCAATTGCTAAGAAAATACTGAAATTAAATTCTACCAAAACTAAGTCAAGGCCTCAAAATAACAATTGTTAAGCATATCTAGTCAACTATGGTATTTATTTAACAAATATGTGCTAGACACACTCAACAGTTTTGAGGATAGTCCTTCACCCATGAAATTTCATGGACTGTTCAACCCATATCCTGGTATGTAATATTTACATTAGTACAATTATCAATAATTTTCTCTCTAACCCTCCCTCTGGTTTAACAGGGCATTCAGTTTATTAAACATCTACTCTGTTTCTGACTAGGCACTGTACAAAGCCCTGGATAAGACATGCCCTTTCCCTCATGGAGCTTAGACTCCAATAAACAGCATAACAGAGACTTACACCCTAGCTCCCTCACATGTCTGCACATCTTCCTATCTTTTCCAGCACCAGCTATAACAAATGGCATTTCTCCAAACGTGTTAGACTGATCTTAGATGGTTTCCTCTCTTCTGGCTCCTATAACTATCTAAGTCACTGGATCCTGTTTTTTCTCTCACTTTTAATATCCCTTCCTTTCCACAAGCACCATTCCTACCCCCACCATCATCTCATAGCTGGATCAAGTTTCCACATTACCAGTCAGATGATGATCTCTGCACTACGCCCCAAATGGCCTGCCTTCCCCTACCCAACCACTAAATGTCAAATGCTACATGCTGGAGAAGGGAAAGTACAGCTTCTATACTTGAGGAGCTCAGAGTGTGGCAAGGGAAACAAAGGAGTATGCGCACAGTGCTAAGTAAATAAGCACAGGGGAACAATAAAACACCCTGAGAGGATTTGAAAATGTTCAGGAATGTTGTAATGCTTGAACTGAGATATAGAGGGTAAAAAAGCACACCCCAGGTAAATAAGGGAAAATATTTCCAAGTAGAAGATGTGGAAATGCAAAGGATGTGGCATATTTGGGGGTGAGAAGAATAACTATCTGGGATCATCTGGAACCTGGGGTGTACTGGAGAAGAGCCAGGGCAGGAAGAGGTCGGTGGCATAAGGTGCATAATCAGAAGAATGAAAACATGATGTGTGACTTAGTAAATTCATGCTGGAGAAACTGTGAAGGACAGTTGAAAGGAGGAAAGACTAAAAAATACTGATTGCAGGTTTTGGAAGCCCAGAATGAGAGTAACAGAAATGGGCAGAGATTTATGAGGGAATTTTGAGAAGAAACTGGTGATTGATTCACTTTTAGTAGTGAGGAAGAGAGAAATGTGAAGAATGACTCCCAAGTTTTTGTCTTGGGTGACTGTGACAGAAACCAGGAGGAAGATACAGGTCAGAAAAGCGGAATTTGGTTTCATCATGCCTGCCTTACCCCTTGTCCAAATACCCTATCCCCTTCTCTCTGATCTAAATCCTGTACTGCCTTTAAAAACAGCCTAAGTTTTCTCTTCTCAACAAAGCCTTCGAACTAACTCTAGCCCATATCATCTTTCCCAAACTTTAAACTGTCTTGGTATTGCATATGTGAACTTACAGTTTGCTATGGATTTTCATTTTGTTGACGTACATGTACAGGTCTAACAGAGAAAGACATTGCTACTCCTTTTTTTTGCTACTCCCCATAGGGCTTAGCACAGTAGCAGGAACATAGGAGACCCTTAATAAATGCTTATGGAATTAAACTATTTAACTAGTTATAAAGGTGTCCTGGGAAAATATTTTGAAGACAAACACGCATTCACCAATGTAAATTTGCTATTTCCAGACTTTCACATTTCAAATTCATTAATCTGCAAACTTATCAAAGTATTATTTCAAATATGTCATTTATTATCTTATAAAATATGCACCCTCACATTGCCTAAAAACAATATAAGAAAAATGCTATAAAAATTAAAAAAAAAACCCTTCTCCTTCCCCCACTCCTTTTAAGGAAAGGATACTGACTTCTGTGGTAGTAAATTGATCTCGAAGAAAGTCAAGGTCTTCCTCAAGAGAATCAAGATTCTTTGTGGCTGTCAATAAATTCTTTTCCAACAATGCCTGAGCTTCATCAATATCATATTCAAGCATTACATTAGCCTAAAGAGAGAAAATCATGACAATTACTCAACAATTACATTATGCTTTATAGGTTAGAGTGTCAGCCAGCAGCAGCCCTCAGGCCAAATCCAGTGAAGCTGCAGTGGAACCTAGCTATTTTCCATTGACGCTTTCATGCCATACTGACAAAGCTGAGTAGTTGGGACAGAGACCATGCGGTGAGCAAAACCAAAAATATTATTTGACCTTTTACTGAAAGTTTGCTGACCCTTGGGTTAGAGAATATATTTACATACATTGTATCATTTAATCCTCAACCCTGGTGATGCAAAAACTGTCTTCTCTACAGCTAAGGAAAGGAGGCTCGGGTTCCCTATACTCACACAGCTAGTAAATACATGGGAGAATCAGGATAAGAACAAATATGTTTAGATACAAAAATCCTATCTTTCTACTACCTGCATCACAACACTCAATAGTATTAGGTTTGAATTCATTTAAACAGTTATTGAGATATAATATCAATTTAAACTTTTTACCATTTACATTTGTCGGGTAGCTTTTACATGTCCCTTCCTGCTTCTTCTGACAGATGCTTAGGGGTGAATTCTGAAGATCTGGTGTTACTGCCAATATTCAAGGATGCATCCACCCTTAGAGTAGGGAACCATCCCTTTCACAGCTTTGAACTCCCCCCCATCACTTGACTTTCCACTGGGTATTTCCTAAACCACTTTCCTCATTTCACAAATGAAATTTTAAAATTACTCCAAGTATTATTTTAAGGATTAAACAAGACAATATGAAAGTGTTTGGCACAAAGTAGGTGTCAAATAAATACTTAATGACTAAATAACCCAATCCATGATAATTAAAAGACCGTATTATAGTTCAGGTAGGACATGAACATATTCAATGAAAAGTACATGTCTCTCCAAGATCCCTAATGTCATTCCTCAGGGTCAATTACTGTTGTTTTTTATGATTTATTTTCCAGAAATTTTCTACATTTTGGTTACTTTTTACAGGTAAAAAATAAAATATATTTCTAAATATCCCATTCATGTCAAAAAACAATAATCGTTCATTCAATTATCCTAAGCCAAGTATTTCTCCTTAGCTGATTCACTCCTCAAACATTGCCTTCTCAAGCTCTCTATCTCAAAACACAACTCCAAGCCATCCCACAAAGCTGTCCCTCCCCCGAGTCTTCCCCAGCTCAGGAAATGGCATAGCTATACCACCATGGCTCAAATACTGGGGGGGCATCCTCTTTGGTTTCTCTTTTCCTTGGCCCACATTCCATCAAAACATGGGGACAAGATGATTTCATAAATACGACTGAAACAACAGCTAGCTCTCTGGTAAGATTTATGGCTCAGCTAGGCTCGGTGGCTCAGCCTGTAATCCCAGCGCTTTGGGAGGCCAAGGTGAGTGGATTGCCTGAGCCCGCAGGTTCAAGACCCGCCTGGGCAACTTGGTGAGACCTCATCTCTACAATAAATCAAAATGAGCCGGGTGCGGTGGCGCATGCCTGTAGTTCCAGCTACTCGGAAGGCTGAGGCAGAAGGATTGCTGGAGCCCAGCAGGTCGAGGCCGCGGTGGCCAGGAGCGGCCACTGCACTCCAGTCTGGGTGACAAGAGTGAGACTCCAACTCAAAAAAAAAAAAAAAAGATTTATGGCTGGAGCCCACCTCACACCACACATGAGGATTAGATACTTACATGGAAATAATGACACCATCAAAGTACTAGGTTAAGTCATAGATATATCATTTTGGAACCCTGGAGTAAGGACAGTTTTTCTAGGACATAGAACCCCCAAACCATAAGCAAAGTCAAAAGACAGTGAACAGGAAAAATAGCTGTATCTCATATCGTAGGCAAAGTACTATTATTTCTTATATAGAGAGCTCCACAAATCTTTACCAATAGAAAAACAGGCAAAGAATATGAGCAGAGTTCACAGTAATTACAATTAGCTCACAAATGAATATTGGTATACCTAACCCTGAATTGTACCCCACAATTTAAAAAAAGTTTGAAATAGGCTGGGCACAGTAGCTCACATCTGTAATCCTAGCACTTTGGGAGGCCGAGGCAGGAGGACTGCTTGTGCCTAGGAGTTCGAGACCAGCATGGGGAACATAGTAAGACCTTGTCTCTACAAAAAAATCAAACAATTAGCCAGGCGTGGTGGTACACACTTGTAGTCTCAGCTACTCAAGAGGCTGAGGTGGGAGGATCGCCTGAGTCTGGGATGTCAAGACTGCGGTGAGCCATGATCAGAGTGAGACCCCAACTCAAAAAGAAAAACAAAGTTTGAAATGCATCATGGTACCACGAAGGTAAGAATATAGGCATTAAAATGTTGATAGTGAAACTAGTAGCCCCTATGGAACAATATACATGAAAATCATCCCCTTGAGCAGGCACTTTCACATTCCCTGCAGTTTATACACTTATACAGAATCCACATGGACCAGTGTACTGCTGTTCCACTTGCAACAGTAAAACTCAGAAACCAAATGTCCATCAACAGGAGACCTGTCAAGCATATTATGGTATATCCACACCATGAGCTGTTATGGAGGAATGAGAAATAATATACTGATATGCACACTCTAATACACACTGTGAAGTGAAAGGCAAGGGGCAGAACAATGTGTGTGACATGTCATCATTTGTGTAAAGAGAAGGGGAAGAAGCCGGGCTTGGTGGCTCAGCCTGTAATCCCGCGCCTTTGGAAGGCTGAGGTGAGTGGATTGCCTGAGCCTGCGGGTTCGAGACCTGTCTGGGCAGGCGAGACCTCATCTCTACAATAAAATAAAATTAAGAAATTAGCCGGGCGTGGTAATGCATGCCTGTAATTCCAGCTACTGGGAAGGCTGAGGAGGAAGGATCGCAGGAGCCCGGCAGGTCGAGGCTGCGGTGGCTGGGAGCGGCCACTGCACTCCAGTCTGGACAACAGAGTGAGACTACAACTCAAAAAAAAGAGAGAGAGAAAGGGAAGAATATACTCATATGTCTATGTATGTGTAAAGTGTCTTTGGAAAGATACCAAGAAAAGAATTGTTAACAGCTTAAGAGGAGGGTACACTTGGCTAGTGAGGGGAGGTAGACTTTTCAGTATTTATTTATTTATTTATTTATTTATTTATTGAGTTGGAGTCACTCTGTCGCCCAGACTGGAGTGCAGTGGCCGCTCCCAGCCACCGCAGCTTTGACCTGCT